GAGCAAGTCACCATCAGTGCCCGCATTGTTACAAGTTTCCACGAAGTGTGCTATATGTTGCTTAGGGTTGCCCTTGCCATCAAATTGTTGAAATTTTGGAGGTTGATACCCCACAGGCATTTTCAAACTTTCCACTCTAGCGGTGTAAGGTTTGGTGTAACCACTATATGACTTGGCACCTCCACCAATCTTGTCCTTGATTGTGCCTTCGATAAATTCCTTCAGATTGTCAACATGAATGGTGCCATCAGGGGAGATTGAAAATTCCTTCGCGGCTTGTGACTTCGCATCCTCTTTCTCCTTCTCCCTTGATGACGAGTCCCTTCATCTTGCACTTTGAATTTCTGTTTGGACATACTAAGGCTATTTTCGCCTATATTTTCCACCATATCCATTAATTTGACTATCTTGGCATCTTGACTTTGGCATGCACTACTAGCCCTTCGACAATTTTGGCTAGATTCGAGATCTGGTCTTCCACAGTTGTGGTATTGGTCATCATGACGGGCATCACCACAGAGGCAGAATCACTTGGGCTACCAATGGATTCATCATGGGCTCCTTTCTTGTTAGAAGCATCTCGAGATTTGCTTCTTCAGTCACAACGTTCGCCTTAGCCTTCTCTGCTAACTTCTTGGCCTTACTCCTTGTCAGAGGTGCAGTATACTGCGTCCCTTGAGTGGTTGAGACATCAGCAACTAAGCCTTCAAGAGAAAAGTTCACCTTCTTGAACTCCATCGAATTTTGAAACTGGTAAGTTGTTGGAAGAAAAGAGATGAGAGGCAGAGATGTCCCACCGGCGTGCCAGAAATTTGTAAGCACAAATTTTGTTGCCTAAAATAAAAGACAAGAAAACTTGCACAAATATCAAATTTATTAAATTAAATAATAAGTAGGTTACAATCTCTGAAAATTCTTGAATCAAAGAAATTAATCCCCTGATTCTTTTCTTCGAATAGCTTCAATTGAAGGGCCGAAAAGACTTGTTCTCCAATCGAAAGGGTGTTTCCTACAATTTCGGCGTAGAAAACGATTGATTTGATGATGGCGTCAAACACTTGGAACTTCGAGTCTTCAACACCGATAGCAGGAGGATTTGTTTGACTTGATTTGGACTTGGATTTGAGGAAGAAAGCTCTTGAGGGAATTTGACAGAGTTTCTCGAATGTTAGGGATTTTTCTATATCTTTGCCTTGAGGGAAGACCTCTATTTATAGCCAAAATATGTAGGCTAGGTCTTCAAGAAAACCCTCAGAATCTTCCTGCTTTTTGGATCACTTTTACCAAGAAATCCATTTAACTTGGGCTTAAATAATGGGCCAACCCAAATAGTCTATTGTGAATTAATAAATCAATTAATTCACTCCAACTTAAGCGGACATTATGGATTTAATTTGATTTAATAGCCCATATAATATTGGCCCAATTTGCCAATCCAAAACATAATGGACTTCTATAATTTAATTTAATTTAATTTAATTTAATCAAGATCGATTTAATTTAAATAAATCTTGACTACAATAAATTAAATAAATTTTCTTTGTCTACAATCTCTCTACTGCATTTGTTGTTCCTCTTCCTTAGTAATCTCCTCCCTCTATTTAGTCATATTGTGTTTCTTAACAGGACTCCTAGAATTGCTTGCTCTTAACCAGGCTCCATACTAAGTTTGTCTATTAAGGTTTGCTCCTTTACTCTGACAAGTTTTTTCATTATGCCCATTAAGCCACAGCAATAATAGAAATCAGGACATTTCTCATAATGAAAATCAATCCATTTCAAGATACCATTCATCTTAACCATAGTACTTTGTAACAATGATTGCTTCAAATCAATTTCCACCAAAATTTTAAGGTGTTTTCCATCTTTTCCTCGTAGGAATAATCATTTCCTTTATTGCATTAAAAACTCCCCCAATTTTCTTCCCCGTATCCTTTGTTATCCAACGCATTGGTAAACTCTAGATCTGAACCTAGATCCAAGTTCTACTAAAAGCATCCTCATCAGATTCAATTCCTTCTTTCTAAGGTAAGATAACAAAAGGCAAATTATCATAGATCCAAGGTCTTCCACTTAACAATCTATACCTATCATGTAGATTTGCAAATACAGTCTGAAACGTATTCATCCCTATCTCAATAACTTTGATATTCTTAGCAAAACCCCACATATTATTAACAAAACTCTTGATACCTACTATATGTGCAATTTTCTCGCCCATAACCTTACCTATAATGCTCATCTTACATTCAGCTAGCTCCTTGCAGCACATGTCTCCCCCATCGATCTGACACTTCCTTTTTTGATAGAGCGAACTTTCTCAGCATTTCCTCCAACTCCTTTGCCATGCAGATTAAAGGCCGAATAGATTCCTCAATGCTTTCTGGACAAATAAACTTTAGCTCCTCCTATTTCAGAACTCAAACTTAGAAGAACAATTTTCTCTACGATCCTGACCAAACTTAGTAGAAAACAGGAATTAGTAAGACTCAAAGACAAGTTACGAACACAAACAATGAAGAAAGGATAGAAAACAAATATGAAAAACAAATCAAAATGCAAGTTGAGCTAAATCAAGTCAATCTGAGCTAAACACTTTGAATGGAGAATGGTGAAGACCCTGTATGAATTCGAATGTTATATGCTTTATTCCATCTATATAGGCGAAGATCAAACCATGATAATATTGGATTGCTATAGAATTTGATAATTGCTTGCTGAAATGAGTCAGATCTTTTGCTTTGATGGCCCTTTAAATTTTTGTTTAAATTTTGGAAAAGGTGAAAGAACGGGAAATTTGAAAAGTAGTTTCACATACTCACACACCCACGGAAAAAAGTAGGGAGGGGAACGGGAGCGGGCACCCGTCCCACGGGAGGTCATTAGGGCGGGGGTTGGGACGGGGATGGGGGAATTTTTTTCCCCCCGTTTAGAAACGGGGCGGGGCCCGTTTGGAATATATATATATATATACATAATTATATATATAATGATATTATCAATTATACTACTAATTATATATGTCTATTAATAAAAATTATTAATTATTTATATTAAATTTATTAATACATTTATGTTAAATATCTAACTACACTTAATACAATAACACTTTTTTCTAAAAAAAAATAATAACAATTTAGTGATTGTATTTGTATCAAAAGTGAAAACTTGATTATTTTAGTTATATTTGTTTTATCATATTAGATTGTATTCAAATAACCTTTGTTTAATTATTTTTATGAGTTTCAATTGTGAAGTTACAATGAATAATAATTTGATGATGTGTTGATATTTTAGTACTTAATTATTTGCTTAAATTTAATTATATAATAAAATTTTTTAACCCCACAGATGCTTCCACGGAAAAAGCTGGGCAGGACAAGGGCGGGGGGAATTAAAATGCAACAGGGCGAGGGTTGGGGAGGTGTCCCCGCCCCACCTCGCCCCATTGCCACCACTAGGGAAAATGTTCTCTATTTAGAGAGAAAAAACTCTCATGAGAGAGATGCTGCGTAAGATGGTTTAGAAAAGGGAAATTTACCAAATTGGTCCCTAACATTTACCAAAAACACTTTTTTAGTCCTTTACATATAAAATCAGCCAAAATGGTCCTTCACATTTAAATTGTGAGCCAATGTGGTCCTATTGCTCGTTTTTGCTCATTTCTCCGGCTAAAAATAGCACGCCTCTCTCACGTGGTCATATTTTTAGGGGCAAAACCGGAAACACATTTCATTACCTGTTAAAAGTAAAAGGTGTGGACAACCACCAAAATACATATTTCACCTTTGGCCCTCAAAGTTTCAAGAAACCTGAATTGCATCCCTGAATGGTGGCGAAAATTATTTTGTAATTCTCCTGTATAAGTGATGTGCTTGATGAATCCATAGATCTGGTTCTTGTTTACTTATATCCGAAAGTCCTAACCTTTCCATTCTAAGTGAGAGTCTAACAAGTCCAGGACATTTGTGCAACATCGATCCCACGAATCCAATTTGGGCCTTAGCTGGAACCCTAAGCCTCAGCTCCTCCGCCGCCCGCCAAAGCCGCTTACTCGTGTCCCTTCATCCTTTGCAAACCCTGGCCGCCGACAACAGTGTTGGAGGCGGGAGCCTCCTCAACACCTCCCACAGACAACTCATCGGCAGCTTCCCGGACCCGGCAAGATCCAATTCGAGGCTCCAGCTCGAGAAGCTCCTCCTCGTCCTCTTGGTGCTCTTCCTCATCTCTCCCTCGTCTTGCGAGTCCCTCGCATCAATATCATCGTCGAAGGAGAGAGCTCGCCGGAGGTTGGAGAAATGCTGGCGATGAGGAGGGGGAGGGGGAGGACGGACAGTGGAGAGAGGAGAAGGGATAGCGAGGGAGGAGGCGGCTGAGTCAGTTGAGGGCGTGGCGGTGGGATGCAATTTAGGGTTTCTTGAAACTTTGAGGGCCAAAGGTGAAATGTGTATTTTGGTGGTTGTCCACACCTTTTACTTTTAACAGGTAATGAAATGTGTTTCCGGTTTTGCCCCTAAAAATATGACCACGTGAGAGAGGCGTGCTATTTTTAGCCGGAGAAATGAGCAAAAACGAGCAATAGGACCACATTGGCTCACAATTTAAATGTGAAGGACCATTTTGGCTGATTTTATATGTAAAGGACAAAAAAAGTGTTTTTGGTAAATGTTAGGGACCAATTTGGCAAATTTCCCTTTAGAAAATATAGAAATTATTTGCCCAAAAATATGAGCTTGCCATGTATTGAAATGGGGAATAAGAAAAAAATATTTTAATTTACCTAAAGGAACAAAAAAATGAAAAAGAAACCAAAATGGCAAAAAAAAAAAAGAAAAGAAAAACTGAACTTCTTCTTCTTAGTTCTTACTTTCTTCCCCACTCTACCTTTCCTCTTCTAAAGCTACAAGTCAATCCAGCTTCCTACTGCTTCTCTTCATCTGCCATGGCCAACCCCAAATCCAAATCAAACCCGAACCCAAGTACCGACCCGTAATTGAACCCGTCGCCCACTTCGTCTTCACCCCCACAACCACCCACCAACACGTCTTCCCAGCTCCCACCGCCATCAAAGCCCTCGCAATCTCAACCACTTCCTCCGACACTCGCAGTCTTTAATCTACATCGGAACCCTCACCGGAGCTATCTACTTACTCTCCTTAAATCCCGCCGCCGACGAGAACGACCGTGTCTCGGTGATCAAACACACCCTCATCGGAAATGGGTCGGCGATAGTTTCCATCCTCGTGGTTGAAATCTGAAAAGGATTATTGTCCTTTCTGGCGATGGTTTTTTGTATTTATTAGACTCGTTTTTGCTGGAAGCTCCAAAAAAAGTTAGTGTTATTAAAGGTGGAGTCACTGCTTTTGCCCGTAGATTTTTCAGTAAGAACTACAGTAATTCTGATAGAATTTTGCCGAAATTGAATGGTGTAAAAAGTAAAGAAGATGGTAGTTCTAGTATTAGCAGCAGCAGCAGTGGTGGTGGTAGTTTCGTCGTGGCTGCCACAGGTAAAAAGTTGGTGCTGGCGGAGTTGGTTTCGAGTGGTTCAGTTGTGCTTTTGAAGGAAATTTTGGGGGTTTTTGAGGGAATGATCAGGGATTTGGCATGGGTAGATGATTCGATAATATTTGGGAATAAAAGTGGGTATTTTTTGTATTCCTGTATTAGTGGGCAATGTGGGTTGATATTTTCGTTGCCCGAGTTGTCGGGGCAGCCGCAGTTGAAGTTGTTAGTGAGGGAATGTAGAGTGTTATTGCTGGTGGACAATGTGGGTGTGACTGTGGATACTGAAGGACAGCCGGTGGGAGGGAGCTTGGTGTTTCGGGAGTTCCGATTCGATTGGGAGATAGGATCACATGTTGTTGCAGTGAAGAATGGGAAGATGGAATTGTATTATAAGAAATCAGGAAATTGCGTGCAAGTAGTGATGCTATCGAGTGATGCGGGCGGGGGAACTTGTCGTGGCAAGTCAGGAGGATGTAAGTGGGGAATTTGTAGCTGTCTCGATGAGTTCAAAGGTATATGGCATTGTCTTATATGTAAATATGTTTGGTTTTACCATATTACTCGTAAAGTGTGCTTATCTAATCAACTAACATCAAATGTTTGACGTCTTCTTTCTTCAGCTTTAGTAGTTCTAGTTATTTGTGCTTTAACATTATGTAGGACAAATATGCTCTGACTTTTTCATCTGTATAGGTGCTGCACTTGTAAATGTGGTATGTTTGAGTCATGATATTATTGCAAGGAAAGATATGCTTTTTCCTGCTGTTGAGCATGAGAAGTTTTTCCTTGTTGCTGTTCAAAGTAGGGAGAAGTCATGTACGTTAAGCTGAATAATTTTAGAACTTGGCTGAATGAATTTTTCCATCTAGATTGCATATGTATTCCCTCAGATTAAGTTCTAACAAATTGTCAATAGGGTGTTAACAGAATGGTAACCTTTCCTAAATCAAGTGTCCTTGCATAGCTAAGCAATACATCAGCTGGCTGATTATATTTTTCCATATCAGAGAATGAACTTATATTGATTGAATTTTGAAGGAGTCTCTGCAATCCCTTCCATAATTAGTTTTTTTGGCCTAGGAGAAGTCAGGCTTGCAAAGAGCATTGTAAGTGATCGTGAAAAGTTTTAATAAATTAAGCATTTCAATGAATTTAGATTGGTCACCCCTAGAAGTGGATCTTATATTAGCGCAGCTAAGGTGTGCCTAAATGCCTATTTCTGTTAGAAGCCTTTTGAAAGTTTGTTTCTGAAACACCGGCAACCCCCACTGAAGTGTTATTCCTAGCTACGCTGAAGTTGAGTTTAATCATCAATGTCGCAAGGAGATGATGCTAGTAAAATACAGTAGATCATCATCAACTAGGGTATGTTGCTGCAGTTGCTGATTGACAACGAAGCAGAGATTGTTAGGATAGCCATCAGATTTTTACAGCTTTAAGGTTTCATGTGTCCAGCTTTCTCAGAACTGAGCCAGCAGCTGATTACTGAAGCTAAATAAAAAGATAAAAAAGCAGTTATAAGATGATAATATTTAACCTCATAAAGCATCAAACTATTGAGAATCTATGAAGTACTTCACAAGTTGAAAATGTGTGTTCAACAGTTTCTTCCCATTGCCAAGTAGGGTAAATTAGGCTACTTGAACAACTCTTTGGTGGAATGGGAAGTTTAGTGATCATTTTCTTCACTATTACTTGCGGAGTTGGGAGTTGGAAATCGGCTGCTGAGTCTTGATGCTTACTATTTGAGAGTGAAGTGGTTCCTAACTCGAGAATCGCTGTTATAGATAATTTAATGAGACTCTTGGTTGCTTTTGCAATTTGTAGGTGATAGAATAGTGCACACTGGGTATCTAATGTCTTATTACTTAAACTTTATTTTTTAATGCAAGGTCATTAACTGCTATTAATGATCAATCTTTGGAGTTCTTAAGGTTTTTGTTTCATGTCAGGTTATTTTCTATCGAAAAGTACCTTGGGAAGAACAAATTAAAGACCTACTACGGAAGAAATGCTTTAAAGAAGCCATCTCCTTGGTTGAAGAGCTTCAGAGTGAAGGTGAATTGACCAAGGAAACATTATCATTTATTCATGCTCAAGTAGGATTCCTCTTGCTGTTTGACTTGCAATTTGAGGAGGCAGTCAATCATTTCTTGCTTTCAGAAAAATGCAGCCTTCTGAACTTTTCCCTTTCATCATGCGGGACCCGAATCCCTGGTCACTTCTGGTATTAGCTGATACTTTTTGTTATGATGTTTTTGGTATATCATTGTACCTGTAATTCTGCTTAAGCCTTGAGAAGGCATTCCAGCTCCTTATGTAAACTGTTCTGAAAAACTGATTAGCGAAACTTGATGAGCAGACTAGATATCTTCTTAAGAATTTGTATAGCCATTGTTTAGATAGAGGAGATAGCATGTGGGCAATCCACTTTGAATATAACAATGCCTGCTGGTGGGAATGCCTCGGGTTGTCTTCATCAAGGGTTGGATTGAACAAATTTCTGCAAAATTATTATCTGGACCAAACTTATGGCATGGAACTTTGGGAAGAGAAGAAACAATGATAAATAGTGTTAGTTGTTTATGAATTTGTTTATAAAAGCCCACTTTCTGAAGATCTAGCTGGAAAAGCTGATGTTGGGTTAGATAGCAGATAGTTTTGGTGTGATTCTGGTGTTTTGAGAGCATGACTGGTTAGGTGATCCTAGATTGGATGGTCCTAGAACATACTTGACTATACTTTTCAATTGGTAAAAATTGTCTTACGTAATTCGTTAAATGAATATCAGAAAGATTAACTACCTTTGGTGTAAACTAAGATATTGATCCTTAACATATTGATAGCAATGATGGTTGTTATACTTAAAAGGGCATGTCACATGTTTTGTGCATATGATACTTTCTTCGTCTTTGTATTTCAGTTAGTCAGTGTATGTTGAGTGAACGGATAAAATACAGATCTTAGTACTGTCGACTTGGTGCAGCTTGTTGCACAAGTTTCTACTGCTATGTTCAGAGAAATTTTTTTTCCTTGCAGGTTCCAAGGAACCGGTATTGGGGCCTGCATCCTCACAACACCTCTTGAAAATGTTGTTGATGATGGATTAAAGACTATTCAAAGAGCTATATTTCTAAAAAAAGCAGGCATTGAGACTGCAGTAGATGATGAGTTTATTGTAAATCCACCAACTAGAGCTGACTTATTGGAGGCTGCAATTGAAAACTTCATCAGGTGTTCATGATTTTCTGTTGGTAATTACTTTTCATTTCCATTACTTGATTTCTTGTTTATGTGGATAAGATTACACTTGCCTATCTGTGGGCTTTTGTTTGAGAGGTTTATGTGGATGTTATATCATGGCTCAGGTTGTCTATAATTCCTGTTAGACCTATTGCTTCCCAAGAAATATTGTAACTTCTTGTGAGTTTGTTATTAAAGATAGTCTCACTTTCTCTACCATAGGTATATGCAAGCGTCTCGTCATAAAGATTTGACTCCTTCACTGAGGGAGGGAGTTGACACTCTCTTGATGTACCGTCTATATAGAGCTCAATCATGTCGATGATATGGAAAGGCTTGCATCTTCTGAGAACAGCTGTATAGTGGTATTTATGCTTCGAACCATTTGGCTCCTTTGTGCTTTTGTTATCATGCATTATGATGAATGGAATCTTAACAGTATTTGTGAAGGGATTTAGCTAGGAGTTGAGGTATCATAGCATCATTGGATCATGCAGTTGTGATTCTTTTGTGGTTTCAAACTTCGAGCTTCTGTATAAAGCTAATTGATTTAGCAGTTTCTATCTCTGGCTTTATTCTTTGGACAATCACATCATGGGCAAAAGAGGAAACAGGAAAACATGAAAGCAGAAATCACAAATCATATAAAATATTAGAGGCATTTTAAATGCATTTTTACTGTTAGAAGGCATCTCTATCACCTTCCAGGCGTATTATGACTTAATTTTGGTGATTTAATGGATCCTGCATTAGTGTTTGGGTAGGGCTGGGATGCCCTAGAGTATTGGTGCTTGTCTTGCAATGGATTGTACATATAGTCAGCAGTTATCAGACAATCAACCTTAATGCTGATAATTGTAAATTCTCCAGACTAGATTTGGAGGTTTCAGAAATGTTTGATGGGCTGAACCTAGAGATTAAAACAATGCTGGTTCCTTCTTTTGCTGAAATTGAGCAGGATTTTAAGTGCTTGTATAGATCACTTTTTTCTGCTAAACGTATTTGAGGAAGCAAGGATTTGACTGGAATTTGGAGTTAAATGAGATGTAGACTTGATGCTTTCATAATTTACACAGCCTTTATGAGTTTTGGTTTTGTAAATTAACTGTTTTAATCATGAGTAACTTGACTATCTTTGGAGTGTTTCATGTCTGACATTTATGGTGGAGAATGTCACCCCAACAGTAAGTTGTTGGAGATGTCGCTCCGGTCAAGTTATTTTAGGCTGAAGCTGCTGCTTAGGGTTCCACATGCAAAATTTGATGGTGGTCTGAGCTTTACATTCTCTGGCTGGGTTTTGCGTTAAAAATGTTGTAGTTGTTTCTTCAGCTAAATTTGGCATGCTTGTGCTGATAAGTTCTTGTGGACTGGAAACTTTTCAAGTATCTTTTAGGCCTTGGGCCCATTTAAAGGTTGAACATGCTATTTTGATTGGCAGTGCAGGAGGAATTAGAGATGTTATTGAATGACTCTGGGCATCTACGTACACTTGCATTTCTTTATGCTAGTAAGGGAATGAGCTCTAAAGCTCTTGCTATTTGGCGTGTATTGGCGAAGGTTACCTCTGGTCAGGAAACTGCCGTCGCAGAGGCTTCAAATATTCTTGAAGAGTCATCTGACCAGGATTTGGTATTACAGCATCTGGGATGGGTATGTAGATATATTATTGCATGTCTTATGCTCAACGTATCTTTTTATTAATGGCTTTTACTTTTGGTATTAGATTGCAGACATCAACCCGGTGCTTGCTGTTCAAGTTTTAATATCTGATAAAAGAAGCAATGTGCTCCCTCCAGGTAAGCTGTGATATGATCATAAGTTTTTGCACTACAATTTGTTATTTGCTTCGATGCATATTTAATTTCTAAAGTAAGCGGGTCTTAGAATTTCTCAGACTTTGAAGGGGAGGATGTCTATTTTTGTAAATAAACTGTGTTCTGGAAAAGAGGAAGAGTTGATTCTTACCTTGGTTAATAATTTAATGGAAGGAAAAGAGAGAGAAATTAAAAAGGAATAAAGGAAGAATAAAAAAAGAAATCAAGTTGGTACACGATTGTCTTAGGGAATGTGAAATTTTAGTTCACAAGTGTTGCAGATCCCAATTTTTCAATGTCGAACCTGTTCCATTGCAAATAAAGGCTGCTTTGATGAAACATTTTGGATGATATTCTTGACTTCCTCCCCCCCCCCCTCCCACCCCCACCCCTTCAAAAAAAAAAAACCAAAGAAACAACTATGCATGCACACAAACTAACTCATGCAAATAGTGTTCTTGAATGCTTTATTTCCAGAATGTTTTTAGTTTATTCCAATTCCAGTTGACGGTTTGTTGTTATTGTAGAGCTAGCTTGCATGTTGTGGTGCATAATAGTTGTAAAATGTTATACTGAGACTCATCTCCTTTTGTTGGATTGATGGGTTGCTAGTTTTTATTGGAGTATAAGTTCTGTCCTTAGATGTCTCTCTCTGACACTAAACCTTCTTTTCACAGATGAGGTAATAGCAGCAATTGATCCCAAAAAAGTGGAAATTCTTCAAAGGTACTCTTTTATTTTTCTGATATTGCATTAAGCTCGGTGAATATAAGGTCTTCAAAAATTTAGAAGTTTCCTGTAGTCATTTTAATTCACTGTTCCTAATCTTTGTTGGAATCATCTCTTTCCCTTCCTTTTTTTTTTTGGATATTATGCTACATGTTTGCTTCTCTCTTGTTATGTTTCTGTATCTGACATTCCATTTCATGTATTGAATTTCTGCCATTCTCTCTCTCAAATGTATGTGCTCTGTGCTTGATTACAATTTGTCTTGTAAGTTGTTTCTTCACGCATAATATTCAAATGTTGGTTACTGGAGATTTAGAAATCTAGCAGTCATTGAGACAAAGGCTTAGGACCAGGATCAGGAGGCTTAGGAAGCGAGACCAGATATGGACTATTCTATTAAGATGATAGAAGTTGATTCTAAGAAACATCCACTTAATTCACACAGTTGCAGTAGTTTGATTTGTGCATATTTTTATTGAAGATAAGCTTCAATTCGAATGAAAAGACTCAGTTTCTCTGTTTAGTGCTTTTTATGTGTTTATTGGGAAACGGATTTTATTGTTGGATGAGTAATTGTCTTCATTTTCAGAAAATATTGTCCTTTGAGCTACCCTCTTGGGCATCCATATCTAGTTGTGCACTATCCTGTTCTTTTTTATTTGCCTCAAGCAAAGCCAATGACAAAATCATTATTCATGAAAGAATTGATCGCGAAAAGAAATTATTTTGCTAAATTATCTGAATTCATCAGCAACATGTATAATATATACAACTTCCTCCTTTCTTGAGTTTCCTCTGTATCCTATCTTTGGCTGATGTTGCATGATAATTTTACGCAATAATGCTTGCCTTATCCATGACAGATATCTCCAATGGTTGATAGAGGATCAAGATTCTGATGACATTCAGTTCCATACAATGTATGCACTCTTGCTTGCTAAGTCAGCACTGGAAAGTTATGAAATTGAACATGGATCTCAAAATTCAGAAGCTGGAACTTCAAAGGAGCTGAATGTTTCTCATCATGGATCAAATTCAATATTTGACAGCCCTCTTAGAGAAAGATTGCAGATCTTTTTGCAGTCTTCAGACTTGTATGACCCAGAAGAGGTCCTTGACTTGATTGAAGGATCCGAATTGTGGCTGGAAAAGGTCTTAGAATACTTCTTTTGATGCTTAAGTTCTTTCCTCTTACAAACATACTAAGTCTTGCTGGGAATCTCGGAGTTATTGTACTTTTCCTTTTTGGAGAGTATTCTGTTCAGCAAGTGATGTGTTTCTAGTGTTTCAACCATTTGCTCTGTATGTATCTCTTACATCTGATCGTGTTTTTGTGGTTTCTTACTCAGGCTATTCTTACAGGAAGCTTGGTCAAGAAACATTAGTGCTCCAAATATTGGCCTTGTGAGTTGATAGTTCTGTATATTACAATACATATTTACGACCTTGTGTGGGAAAGAAGGGGGGGGGTTGGGGAATGGCTGCCTTGTGATGATTCTTCAATTCCAAACTGCACTCAATTTTCTGATTGCATTATTCATGCCTGCAATCCTTTGTGAACTGGGCAACTTCGTTTCTGAGATGCTCTCAGCAATGTGCTAAGAAATCAGTTTTACCATTGGTAGAAACTACTAAAATTTCTTATCACAAATATCGTGGTGTCAGTAATTAATTAAATTCTATGAATATATTGTCATCCTTAAATCTTTCTTGAACTCTGATACATATGTTGATTGGTTGTATATAAACTGTTCAAGACATGTCTGGTAGTAAATTGTCATTTTTTAATGGGGTTAAGGTTGTATATCTAATGCAGTTCAATTTCTTTTTTCAAACTGTTAAGTATACCTATTCAATCTATTCAATTGATTGCTTTCTTTAATGTAAATTTTAAACATGAACAGGGGCTTTTAGGACTTTGGCAAGGAGAAGATTTAGGGTTGATTTGTGATTAAAGGAAAGTTTAAGAGGGCTAAAATGGATGTAATCCAAGGGACAGTTAAGTGTGTTTGGATAATAAGTTATTTGAGAATTTTTTTGGTTGAAACACGGTTCCCAATCAACTTTTTATATTTTCAACCACCTTTTTATCTTACATTCATTACATCGCAAAAAGTGGGACAGTAATATTTAAAAATTTTTTGCCAAATATTCTTCAATCCAAAACAGACGCTATAATATTTCATATGTAGCTTTATTTCTAGGATGTGCTGATATTTTGACACTGAAATCATCAGTCTCTTGTTTGTATTATGTGTTAATAGTGAAGTGTATTAGGTCATTTGAATTATGTGCAGTAGGCTGAGCTTCTTGATACGAACTTTTAGTTTACATTCTGTAGAATGAAATCTACAGAAATATCTGCAGGTGTAACATACCAGACCAAATTACATGTTTAATTAGTACTTAGCTATGAAAAATGTTGGTTATAGGTTCCTAATTGTTGAATGAAAACTTTAAGGTGATTTATTCTCTGATTCTGGTCCTTAAATTTGTATTGTGTAATTTCCTGGCGGTTCAGGAAGCTGGAGGACTGTGAAGCTGCGGAACAATATTGTGCAGAAATTGGTAGACCAGATGCCTACATGCAGTAAGTCTTACTTTGTCTCACTTAAGAGTCTCAAGTTAACTTCCTTTAGTTTTCTCAAATCTGGCCTTTCTCCTAGACTGCTTGAGATGTATTTGGATCCGAAGGATGGCAAAGAGCCCATGTTTAAGGCTGCTGTCCGCCTTCTCCACAATCATGGAGAAGCACTTGACCGCTTTACAAGTCTTGGAGGTATTTCCTCTTGAGTATATGCAATCTGCGTGTCTATACTAACATTTCATTTGAGCATGCTTTTGGATTTCAACGTGTCATTTATGGAGTCTAATAGACCTCAAGTAGTGAGGAAATATGGAGATAGATGAGGAACCATTTTCCAATTTCTGCTCTTTGATACTGTAATTTTGAAACACTTGCTATTGTGTTGAGGTCTCGCTAAATGTAAGGTACCTTGCATGTTTTCTGTTATATGTCTGCTTCTCTCTCTATCCTAATTAAAGAAGGGAGGGACTGTATTTCATGTAGATTATATACCAACATTGTCCTTTTGTGGGAACCTCCCTACTTTCTTTTTATGTCATAAAACGCAAGAGAAAAAGGGGCCTGGGGAAAGAGAGAGGGGGGGAGGGGGAGGGTTGGGGGCATGTGGAGGGATTCTTCACATGGATTTAAGGAGTTGCATCAGAGAATTGAAACTTGTGTATTTTGTTCTACTTCTGTAATAGCAGCTGTAAAAGGAAACTGTTGTTCGCTGACATGATATTTGGTGATTAATTTGTGACAATATCACAAAGGTTCCACGGACCTAAGATACTGTTGCATCATTATCTTTTTTTTTTTGAACGCTCTCTGTTGTTGTTAGGAGTGTTATTGATTCAGTAATCACGAGTCTTTCGCCTGTTGCATAGCTGGGCATTTCTCCAGGTAAACCCAATTTCAAGAAGTTGGAACATAAAAATATAGGTCTTAGTTAGAAACTGATAGTTGAAAGTTGCTTGAGATGAGTTCTAAATAATGGGTCTAATATCATCTAGTTCCACAGAGGGTAATGCCTCTGATCCTCTTTATGCCTTTTGCTATATCTGATGCTGAAATAGGGTTCTTTTTTTCCCTCCTTTTTGTAGAGGTTGTCCCCTGACATGCCCCTCCAGCTTGCTTCGGATACTATATTGAGAATGCTGAGGGCCGGCTTCATCATCATTGGCAAGGGCAAGTAAGTTGATGCTTGATTGATGAAAATCAGATATGACTTTTATCAAAAATTGGTTTCTGTACCATTTCATTTCCTGAGTGTCAAGAAACAATGTATTAGACTGTTAGTTTTGGGTTGTTCTTGAAGTCTTTTGATGATCAGATATCTGGGTAGAGAGAGAGAGAGAGAGAGATTTGTGCCAGTTACCAAAGGCCATGGGAAGCTAAATGTGGGTTGTCCTGCTTGCAGCTTTGTTGCATTATTATCAGTCTCATGAGATTTATATCCTTCCACTGTGATCTTGATTAGTATGTGCAGACTAAAACTGGAGTTGTAGATATTGGTGTGGAAGATGACAAATTTGAGTCTCCTGAAGCATATTGCATTATTCAAGCTGTTACCCTTGAGGCCTTTGTATCTTGTTCTACTTGGAAGCCTATTTCTTGACATGGATGAATAAATATGAACTCTGTGTATTGTTGATGCATGGATTTTACAAATTATTGCATGAAGTGGTCTCTTAAGTTATCTATTGCTTTTGGGCCATAAAAAATTTATTGTTGATGTCAACCAAAATCAAACGCAAGCTTTCTCCCACCCCATGGAAAAAGGAGTTGGGATTGAATAGTCTCCAATCTGCCTACTAGTTTAACTTCAGTATGAACCATTTCTTATTGGTTGTTTCCAAACATACATGTGATCTTACATTGACCACTACCAATGGCCAAGATAAGCTTGTTTGCTTTCTTTTATGCTGGCATGACCAGTTTTAAAGTTTGCAGTTCATTGTTTGTTCTGTACATGAATCTTTCCCTCCTGGGTGTGAGACATGATAATCTGGTAACTTTCTTCAGATTGTCCATAATCTATCCCGTGCTTTAGATGTCGATGCGAGCTTGGCACGATTGGAGGAAAGGTCACGCCACGTGCTGATCAATGATGAGAGTGTTTGTGATTCTTGTCATGCTCGGCTTGGAACCAAATTATTTGCAATGTACCCAGATGACACAATTGTCTGCTATAAGGTGAGTAATTTGGCTTTCTCCTTTTATTTGTTTAGTTTTAGTAAGTTTTAAATTTGTCTCCTATGCCTTATTGGCATACCATCAAGCCACTTAGTATTTAACTTTCTATGGTCATAGGAGCATTCCTCATTCTCTAAGCATTTTCCACATCCTTACCCACCGAAACCAACCCAAGGTTCTAGCAAATGTAGTTGTGATTTCAAACATATCCTCCATTCAGAATCTAAGGTACCATAGCTGTGCCCCCGTATTATTAGATATCTGGCACATGGGCATGTACGTCACTCAGCATTGGCACCCAAGTCCATGTAACATAGTTATATATGCTTTGACCTGTGGGAGTGCTCAGGTGAAGTAATATGCTCCAAAACGTAGTTGGGAGCATAGCATATGCTGATAATTGTCTAACATAATATATGTCGCCTTGTAAAAAGTCCATATGAGGTCTAAATATTCAAGAGACTGAGCATGATCCCACAAAACATGTAATGATTGAACAAGAGCTTGGATTTGAGATGTTAATTCATCACTTGGTACAGCGAGCTGTCAGAGAGATCTAAGGCTAGGCCTGACACGTTAAATAAGTTGGCTGGAATTGAGCTAATATCCATATTATGGTTCAAAAAAAAAAGTCTTATTTGAAGAGTTAATCACCATAGCATATAGAATGAATGGTATATATTGTATCATTGCAGTGAAGGATAAGCCTTTCAGATTGTTGGTTTCTGTTGGGATTGGGAGATAGTAATTGCATCTATTGCCTAGATAGAGGGTTTAAAATATTTTCAGTTTGTTGAACTGGCAGTAACTAATCAAGAATAATATTCTATACAGTGTTTTCGTCGTCAAGGTGAATCCACCTCTGTCACAGGTCGTAATTTCAAGGAAGATGTTTTATATAAACCAGGCTGGTTGGTAACACGGTGACCATGGAAAAGCAGATGATCTTCTATGTCTTGAGCTGGCTGCTTGGCATGATCAAGAACTCCGGTATGCAATTGCCAAAGAGGCCACCTAATGGGTCAAATGTTGTTTCATTCCATATTGCAGTTAGGTAATTTTTGGCACAATGCCCTCTGGCCTTTCAAAGGAGAATACTGCTTTCTTTGGAGTAGCATGCTCCCTGTTGATAGGACGTAATTTATTTACTTGGGTTGAAGAAGACTCCAGAGTAAGGGCAAAATCTTGCCGAGACTTATTTGTGTAGCAGGACTCCAGAAGGGCTCTAGTATTCTTTGGTTAAATCTGAACAGAAAGGTGGAAGTGTAGGTAACTCTTGCTGGCGGCTAAAGTTTTGTCTGATTGTAATGTATCAAATTCTTGTAACCATATTAATAGGTGTTCAGAATGGAAATTTTATATAGATGGCATTCTTTTCTCCTTCAATGCAATTTTTTCTTCTGTTGAAAATAAAGTTTACCTTTAAAATTGGTGTTCAATCTACTGAATGGATTTCTGCAGATTGTTATGCATGATTCAGCTTTCACGTTGAAATGAATGTTCGTGGAAGAATAGGAAACCAGCCATGTGTCTGAATGTCGATGTGTTTTCCCTACTGTGCATTATTTTCACTTCTTAGCATGAAAGATAACAGGATGCATGATTTTGATGGGAAATTGCAAATATCATTCGTGAAGTATATGAAAATCTTAATTTAGTCTGATGAATCAGATGTCATCCGGTTAATGTAACAACCAAGTTGAAACGTTTGGCCCTGTTGCCATTCCAATTCTCTGCCCTGATTTGAATGTTCCATTCAAGAGAATCATGTGCCCATTTCTGTAACCTTCATCAAGATTCAAGCTCTAAGAATGATGAAAGTACAATCCATCACAAACTTCAAGTGGCAATAAAGAAAATGATTCACCGGAAAGTAACATGTTGGATATCTGGGATATGGAAATTTGTCTGATTTTCGTTCTGAGATTGTCATTCGCGTCCTTCACCTATTTCATATCCCAGTAATGTCTCCACATCCCAATTCACCATAAATAGAACTTCTTGTTACGTTGAAAACCAGGCAACAACAGCAGCCTCTGTGTTTGAAGTTCACTAGTAGATTGAGCCCAGTAAACCTTAGGAGGAACTTCTATTTATTTTTTTTTAAATTTATTTTGGTAAGTATTGATATCGCAAAATACAATTCATGCAAGTTTCATGGCTGAGACTAAACAGAAAAATCCTAACTATTTACAAATAGTTCAAGTATACTATACCACACTCAATTCTAGTGAAGATGCATTAATCAAATTCCCCCGAGACCACACTAATTTGCCAATTCAGCCGAGTATTGGGCATCTATCTCCAGCCAGCAAAAGACTGTTTTTCTTCATAAAAATCCTCTGACTCCTCTCGTTCTAGAGCAGGTATAGAGCTACTCCAACGGTAGCAAGCTTCCTGATCAATTGATTTACAAAGTCACCTTGCTCATGGTAAATTCCAACCAGGCCTAAAAAGTTGGGATTACTCGCCGAGAAACTCTTAGATTTCTTGATGATGAACAGCCATGCGCTTGCAGATGGGCAGACATTCTTCACTTGCAACCATCTCGTGATACAATCTGCATGAAACTGTGTCTGCAGCTAGAGTTCTTCCAACATCTCTCCACTTTTGAATTCATCCTGGCATATTACACAAAATTCATCAACCTCATCTTCATCTTCATCTTGCTTAGCAAGTTTTTGATACTTCAGAGTTTGCAGATGTTCCGCGATTATTTCTTGGGACAGATTACTTCGTTGGTCCAATAATACATCAAAACCTAGAATTACAGCGAGTTCATTCCCAAACGTGACGATCTCCCCATTCAGTTCGGCCAGTTCTCCAAGTATATCAACAAACTCTTCATCAGATTCACCATCGTCATCGTACTCATCATATACTTGAGGAATGTCCCAGTGGCCACCATATTGAATGCTGTTCGGTGGCGGAATATTTTCGGCTGATCCTCATCCTCCTCCCAAGATTCTTGAATGCTTTGAGGTTGATACTGGTCCTCCGGACCGGGGATGAAGTTTTCCGGGTGATCTTCGTCATCCCAAGGCGAAACAAAGTTTGCCGGTAGAGCTATTGCTTGCATATATTGTTGTTGTGACTCCATAAGATCACTGCTGTTAAAAGGGTCCGCAGCTGTGTCAACGAAACTATAAACTGCTGCCATTCCGACGATCTTAAATTCTTATGGGCTTGCTCTGGTTTCTTGAAGATGATCTTACTTTTTTTTTCTCTCTTGAAGATGGATGACACGAATGAGATTGCAGTGGTTGTATGCACTTATATAGGTTTGGAGATATCCAAGTTTGGAAAGGAAAAGATTCAAGATTTTGGTAATAATGTAGCTGAGTTCAGGTAGGACACAAGTTCGATAGATTTCTGTTGTTTTGGTAACAATGTGATAAAACGGTGTTACAAATATGGTAAATTTAAAAAATAAATCAAAGAGCTCTACAGTATTTATTAGACTATGAAAATTATTTTTGATTGTTTACTGGGATATTAATTCCTTGGCTTTGGAAATGGTCTGCATTGACTATGATCCTAATTATTTATGTGAATATTATTTCTGTCTTTTCCTCTTTTTTGGTTTTATATTACTATCTCATAAATTGACTAATTCTTTATATTACATTTCTACGTATTTTTTCGTCGTACTAATATTAACTCACATGGTTTCCACATAATTATATCCTTACAAAATATAACAATTAAATACTAAAATGTATGATTTAAAAATAACCACATAATCTCTTTTACTGTCATGCAAAGTCAAAAGTGAAAAAATGAAAAAAAAATGCACATATCATTCCAAAAAAAAAACTAAAGAAGTAAGTAAAGGTAGCGTTATTATGCATACCATTTGAAATATTGATGCTTATGTCAATGCTTTTAGTATTGTTGTCAAAAAAATTTTTTTTTGGTGAATTGCTAATTTTACTGGGAAGTCCATCATGAATCTACTTTCAAATTGACGAAAACATATTCTGACTCAGGCAAGTTAATGATTTTGTAAACCAAATTTGAGGGTAGGGGAAGGAGGGGATTGGTCTATTAGGATAACAAAATGACTTGAAAGGGTAGAAACAGAATAAGAGAATTCATTTATCCTAATACCACTCTAAAATGTGATAATACATCTTACACCTTGACTTTACTGATTTTAATTGATAAATTTTATTTGTTGCTCCCACTTTTGACAAGTACATTTATTTTTTCGCTTAATAACATGATAGGTTGAAATTTTATCATTAATTTTATGATTATTTTCCTATTTTATTTTACTAAACATTGCGTTAATTGGTGGATTCTACTTATTTTTGGTAATTATGATTGGTTGTAGGGATTTGGAGCAAAAAGGGATTAAAGACCGTGATTTTCATTGAATTTTTATGCTAACAGCGTGGTCACATCAAATTCAAAACTTAGCACGTTCAAGAGTTAGGGAGTTGAAGTGTGATATGTACTATGAAGTGAAGTCTCAAGAGTGGGGTCACAATGTTTACCAGAGGATTGTTGTTGGTTTTTCCTTTTCGGATAGGTTGGAATTCGTTGGACAATTCGATTTGAAAGTAGCAGTAATTTAGAAGTAATAGGAGACTAGTCAATAGTGTAATTTCCTTTCTTTTCGGCCAGAGAGACTAGTCAAGTAGTCAATAGGTTTCTTATCTTTTCTTGGCCGGCCGTAAGAGACTAGTAGTCATTGGATATCTCTTCTTAGGACCGCGTGTCTTTGGCTCTTTTCCATAACATCGCGTTGGAAATTTTCTCAAAAATGAAGAACTAATTTCCTTTCTAATCGAAGGTCAACTTGAAGATGCGGTTTCAAACATTTATGAGATCGAATTAGTTTACTTATTTCTTTTATTTATTAGTATTCGTATGTTTTCTAGTTTAACTTCTTTGATTATTGTGTTTTTGAATATCATGGGTCCGATATTTGAATTAACCTAATAATCTATTGTCAGATTAATTGATTAAATCCGTAATTATTTGATCGATTATACTAGTGGCGACTAGCATGATTGATCCATGTTAGAGAAACGTATGATCTAATTTAAATAAATTCCCATAGTGAGTTTGTTGTTAGGGTTGGACTTTTTTAATTCTTAATGCAATTGAGGAATTAAATCCACGATCGCACCTAGGGTTGTTTCATGGTTAGGGAATAGTTGACGGTCGTACCTTGACTATCGATAAAGTAAGGAAAAGTTGATTGTCGGAACATGTTGATGACTATAACTAATCTATTAGTGAGTAATTGAATTATCTTACATCAATGATCAGCTGAGTGATCCGTATCTGAAAAGTTGTACCTTTGGCTAGAATCATATTTGTTATTGATTTAATTCCTATTTATTTCCGTTAGTTATTTTATTAGTTGGTTAATTAGTTAATTTTGTATTTTCCAAAAATCCCTAAGACTTTGAATTCTAAAAGAAACGAATTTTTTCCAATCCCTGTGGATTCGACCCTACTCACTGTTATATACAAAATTTATATTTTAATTGAGTAGGTATTTATTTTGCACAGCAGTGTCGACACCTGTTATAACATTTGTTTGGATAGGTATTATTTGTAATAATTACTGTAACACTTTTTATGATGTGATGTATGTGAGATAAAAGGTGGTTGAGAATATAAAAAGATGGGTTGGAAAATGTGTCGAAATATTATTTGAAATCATGAGATATCCAAACAAAAATATTGATGTATATACAAAATTTCAATGTGATGATTTAAATATACAATATACTGAATACACAACAACTTTAGTAAAACATGATATTATCAAACATTGATGTGTTATACTTTGAGTTATATATTATCTAAATGGCTAAAAAGAAAGTTCATACAATGGTTACACTTTTTATGATGTGATGTATGTGAGATAAAAATGGTTGGGAATATAAAAAAATGGGTTAAAAAACATGTTTATGATGCAAGCGAAATATTATTTGAAATCATGAGATATCCAAACAAAAATATTGATGTATTTACAAAATTTCAATGTGATGATCTAAATATATAATATATTGAATACACAACAACTTTAGTAAAACATCATATTATCAAACATTGATGTGTTATACTTTGAGTTATATATTATCTAAATAGCTAAAAAGAAAGTTCATACAATGGTTGCCTTATGATTTCAAATTAATCCTCATGGAAATGTTAACCACGTAGGTTGCTTTCAGTCTCTTTCTATTTAAAATATTGTTTTTAAAAACAACTGGTTAAAAAATATGGTACTATATAATACTATAACCGCGTGCAAAGTACGTGACCGTCTAATACTTCTCATTAATCGTGGGCACTTCATAAAATTCGACAAAGAACAAATAGAAATTTCCAATTGTCAACAAAGGGTATTATTGATTGGATCCGATTGATTAAGCTTATATTGATTAAAGGACTTGATAGAAAACAGCTGCTGGATATC